GCCAAGATTAAACGACGCGTCTAAGACTACCCCGCATATTAGGTATTATAAGGCTTATAGGAGGATCTTTAATATAGACGCCTTAACCTACTAGTAATAGCCCTACTATTTAAGAGGTGGGCTATTAACCTAATTAGGCCTCTATCACTAACTCCTAATAGTAATTAATAAATTATTATAGTAATCAAGTATGCAATAGGTTGACTAGTGGCCTATATAGTCTTAGAAGGTATAGCAGAGGTGATCACTAAATTTCTATATAATAAAATCTTTATAAATTATAGTGCCCCTTATGAGCTCTTATTAGATAATAGATTTAACTTACTTATAGTAGTAGTCTAACACTATCTAAAGATCCTATAAATAAGATACTAGATAATAATACTATATTATTTATAGATAAATAGTAAGATTAAGAATCTTAATGGCCTCCTAGATTAAATACTTATAAAGTATATTATAGAGAAATTAATAAAGATCTAGGATAAATACCTCCTATAGGCCCTCTTTACTATATATATATAGACTTATATAGTAATAGAAAAAAGCCTCTTCTACCTCCTATATAGTATTAACCCTTATATCCTAGGTAATAATAATAAGGGATCGGCAAATGGCAACCTTATAGAGGTGAAGGAATAGCTTTAATAAGTTAACTATATTTAATTATTAGTAAATAAGCTACTGTTAAATTATATAATAAAGATAAAGATAGTGCGTGATAGCCTGGTGATAAAAATAGGCTTTAAAAAAGGTGACTAGGTGTTAGTTAGGAATAAATTACTAAAGAAGCTAGAGAGTAAGTGGTTTAGTCTATATAAGGTGCTAAAAACATATCCCCTAGATATATATATCCTTAAAGAACCTGGCAGATGAGTGCTGTAAAACCTAATTAATAGTTAGTAATTAATCACTACTAAGGTAGATAAATTAAGCTAGCTATAAATATTAATGATGATGTGATAAATACTGCACTAGTAGAGTATTATACTTTAGTATCTAATTAAAATAAGGAAAATCCTAAAGGAATAGGAACTGTTGCCGCCCTCCTATAAAGAGTTATTAATAATTATAAAGAAAGAGTAAATAATGGTAAAGAGACAATAGATAATAGAGTATTTAGGGGAATACTTAAGGATAGGGAGGGAAAAGGTTAGTAAAGATATTAATAATAATACTATTATAGAGCATATAATTAAAAAGGCTTAATAAAAGGTATAATAAAAGAAATAAAACTCCCTAATAAAGACGGCAACCTAATAATAAAGGGATTAATAGAGGATAATATTAATCTCTTTAAAGAGCATCTCTAAATAAGAGGCATCTAAGAAAATAATATTTAATAATAATATATCTAAAAATAATTATAGTAATAGAGATAATTAAAAGACTAACCCTAGACTATAGGACGCCAACGCCCAGAATAGTATTAACTTTAATAGACTATTTATAGTAGTTATCTAATTAATTATAAGATAAGGTGAGAAGGTAAGAATAATAGAAAAAGGCCTATACCTAATTATATAAATAAGGGATAAAGAGATCACCCCTTAAAGAGTATTAAAAGATATTAAGAAAGAATTTATTATAGAGTTTACTAAAGAAAAGAGACTAGCTATAAAGAGCTAATAATAATACTTTAGGATATAGATACTAATTATTTCTTATAATAATACTTCTTTATATATAGAAGATACTCTTTTTATAGATCCTCCTCCTCCTCTTTCTCTACAGTAGTAGTAGTAATTAATATATCCTTATAAGCCTTAAGAGTAGTCACTTATTAATATATATTTATAATAGCCTAATAAATCTTTAGCAAATTATTAATATCAGCATTTAATAAGGGAAATAAAATAATAGGGGGGGTATTATTATAATTAATAAGTTAAAGAAAACTATTAATTAGACTCTTCTAATAAGTATCTATAGTCTCCTTAACTTTTTAACCTATAAAGTTAGAGTAAAGAACTAGAAGCTCTCTAAAATAATATACTATCTCCTTATAAGAAATAGTTAAATACTAGAGTGATATCTTTAGAGGAGTAAAACCTAAGATAGTTTAATAAGGAGTCGCCTAAGCCTCTACTATAGTTAAGATAATAAGAGTACTTAATTATAAGCTGGCTAAAGCAGCGCTAGCACTAGTAGTAGATAATAAATTTAATAAGACTAAAAGGATAGTAGAAAGTATAGTAGCTAATATAGGATTAGTGGTAGAAGTAGTAGGAGTAATAGGAGTAGTAGAAGTAATAAGTAATAGAGTCCTCTCCTTCTTAACCTTCTTTCTTTTCTACTACTTTTTATACTTATCCTTCTTTCTCTACTTTTTATTACTATTATAGTCGACACCTATGATATATTAGTAACTAGTAAGAGAAAGACCTAAGAAGAAATAAATATAAGTTGTAATTAGTACTCTTATTATAGAAGAGATAGTTTATATATATCTTAATATAGTAAACCTTATACTTATCTTTATTAATCTCCTTAATAGGAGGTATAATATAGGTAGTCTAGGGATTATTATTATAAGTATACTTTAAATAAGGATTAGCCACTATAGGCCCTTACTTAAAAATAATAGCAGCAGAAAGCTTTAATATATGGCTTAAAATTAATACTTAGCTACCCTAAAAGAAGTCCTAATACACATAAATAGTAGGGAATAAATAAATAAGCTTATAATTATTAAAGAAGGTTATATGCGCCTCTAAAGAAAGTTTAGTTTTTATTACTATTAGCTATATCTTAACCCCCTAGATTAATAAACTTATAATAAGTAATAGGCGCTAGACCACTATAATCTGTAATCTACTTTAAATAATAAGAGCCTAATAGAGGCTAAGGGGGAGACTCCTTAGTAGATAGTAAAGGAGTCCTAGGAGGTACTAGATACTTAGCCTTTAATAAATAATAAGAATAATTAGACCTATAATAAGAGCACTAGATAAGAGACTTAAAGTCCTTAAATTTACTATTAAAAGCCATTAGCAGGGGATAGTTATAAAAAATAATAATAATAAGAGGGGGAGTAAAGAAAGAATCGCCACTAAATAAGTAAGGAGATATACCCTTTATCATAAATAAAAAGGTTACTAGGTCATCTAGTAATAGTGATTATAGATATACCCCGCACCCTCACCTAGGATTAGGTAACCCCTTATTAATTAGTAAGTGATTAATAAAGTAATTAAAGAATAAGTCTTTATTTACTAATTTTAGGCCCTTATTAAATAGAACCAGCAAATCACCTATTAATAGCTAATTTATCTTAATAAGATCTTAGAGGGAGGATTAGGACTTTGCGGATAAAGTTCTAGTTAAGTAGGGGAGAATATAATATTATAAGTAAGTAATATTATAAACTCCTACACAGCTATAAGTAGGATCACCTTAGTGAAACACTAGGGTGCCTACTCACTAATAATATAAAATCTCTTAACCCTAGTAGAGCAGTTATATAGAGTTTTTACTCTATATTAGGGATTAATTAATTCTATAGAGTTCTATTACTACTAGGTTGCTTAGCTTTTAATAAGCTAAGGGGAGATATATAGATACCTTCCCTCTAACCTATAGTAGCAATAGAATAGAGATTTCTTAGAGACCATTAGCTTTTAAATATCACAATAGTAATGAGTCTAGCGTGAAAGAGGCAATGTAATAGTATTCGCGAATAGTATATCCTATCTTCACAGTGAGATTGTCGCTGAGTTCCTCTAGCTTTACAGGAACTCAGAGAGGGAGAGTTTTCTATCATGTGACTATTCATTGGCGGCGAACCTTACATTAAGTCTATAGAGATTATAAAGGTTAAAGATTTTATTACTCTAGTTTATACTTTCTTTAGTTATAATTAGATCTTTTTAAATTATTTATTATTCTTTAGGGCTGATATAGACCTAACTTTAATATAAAGCTTCTTATTTATTAATTATTAATTATTTATTATTATTAAATATAATATTATATTTTATAATATATTTAAATTATTAATATAAAGGCTAAAAAACTATTCCCTAATTATTATATCCTTGTTTTTATTATGGGTCTTATAATATTTAGATAATATTTAAAGATTATTATTTAATCTTATTATATTTATATTATTAATATAATCTAGTAGTTAAATATAATAATAGAATTATTAAGTAATTAAAGTATTATTTAACTATTATTAATTATATATAAATTAAGATTAATTAGTTAAAATATTATATAATAGCCTTAAATAGATAATTAATTAATTAATAACTTTAATATTAGAATATTAAAATAAAGAGAGAAAAAAGAAGAGGAGAAAGAGATATATTATAAGATATATTTAATATCTCTCTCCTCTTTTCTATACTAAAATTAAAATAAGAATAATATCCTTATTTACTATAGCCTGCCTAAGGCATCTAGACAGCCAGCTCACCTCACCATCACTATGACAACAGAAGCCTATAATTATTATATAATATTATATAATTAATAAGGATATTCTATTTTTAGACTTAACATATAATCATTAAAATAAGCTTTTAATTAAAAAAATATAGCCTTTAAGATATTTATAAAGAGTTAATTAGGAGACTTTAAAGATATATATAGGGTTATAAATAGATATAATTTATTACTTTTAACAATATTAATAATTATAAAAACTATCCTTATTACTCTTTTTAATCAATAAGTGAATTTTAAGTATAGTACTGGTTAAATTAATGTAAATTCATTAATATTAGGGATATATCAAAGCATTAGTGAGATATGGGCGGCTTATAGGGGGTGGGCAGCTCATTGCCAAATCATAGGTGTTTATACATCTTACTAAGCAAGCTGCACACTAAACCTAGTGTGGATTATTATTACCTGCAACCACGCGTAGCGCGTCAAGCCTGCAAAATATTTCTCTATACAACTATCCAGTATCAACATTCAAATAAATCCCCCCTACCCTAGGAGTCTTATCTTTCATAACATTTGCCCTTAAATAAACACTTACGTGAAATATGACTGACCCAGCTTCCCATGTGTCAGTCGGTGCTCTGAGGTATGGTTTTATAGTGATAAACCCTAGCCTGGTTCCTATTCACACTGATCATGATTACTATATCTTCATGATATATATACTGATGAAGTTCCTTGCAGGGCGATCTTTGATAACACCCAAACTACCGTCCTTGAGCCTATTGTTCAGTGTGTTCAGATAAAACCTCTACCACCTCAACCGAATCATCCAGAGCGCTACCGTGCTGTATTTAGTGATATTTCTAATTATGTCCAAACTATGCTGGCTACCCGTAAGTTGGATATACAAATATATGCTGATGGTACTTGAAAGTAAACTGATATTTAAACTAAACCAAATTTTATAAAATAAAGAAGCCAACCATTTCGTGACTGATGGATCGCTTCGGAAAGGCTGCTTTGTCAGGCTTAAATCTTTCCAAGCCAACTCTGTCAAAGGGAAAAAGTGAGTTTTATTTCTAGCTGACCAGCGAGTTTCTCATAGCTGACCTCCAGGATTCTCATTATTTTAGATCTTGATGTTCTTGGTGACTTGGGTGAGTGTGAGAAGATTGGCGAGCCTAAGCCACTTGAAAACAAGATTGAAGAAGATGAAAAGCATCAGTTCGCAGCGAATTCTGGAAACGGCTTTTATGCTCCCAATTTACCACATGCACAGGCCCAGTCGATGAACCGAGAACATGCAGCCAGATCTAGCAAAAGCTCTGCCCACGCAACAATCTATCCGATAGAAGCTATCTCGCCATATTCCAACAAGTGGACAATCAAAGCGCGCTGCACCAACAAGTCGCAGATCAAAACGTGGCATAATAGGAATGGAGAAGGAAAGCTGTTCAGTGTCAATCTACTGGATGATAGCGGTGAGATTCGTGCAACCGGTTTCAATGACCAATGCGACTTGCTTTACGATCTGTTTCAAGAAGGATGTGTCTATTACATATCAAGTCCTTGTCGGGTGCAAATAGCGAAGAAGCAATTCACAAATTTGAACAACGACTATGAATTAACATTTGAAAAGGACACCCTTGTTGAAAAGGTATGATCAAACCATCCACATCAGAACTGTTGATATCGTGTTCACTAAACTGTCTAACAGGCAGAAGAGCAGAGTGATGTTCCCCAAGTTCGGTTCAACTTCACTGTCATAGGCGATTTGCAGTCCGTAGAGAAGGATACCACCATTGACGTCATAGGCATCCTCAAGGAGGTTGGGGAAATGTCCCAAACTGTGTCAAAGACAACGAGCAAGTCATATGATAAGCGCGAGCTTACTTTGGTCGACGCCACCGGCTTCTCCGTGCGATTAACAGTGTGGGGTACCACAGCAACAGCTTTCAATGTACTTCCTGAATCTGTGATTGCGTTCAAGGGGGTCAAGGTGTCCGACTTCGGAGGTAGGAGCCTTAGTCTACTTAGCTCAGGATCAATGACTATTGATCCTGATATTGAAGAGGCTCACAGGCTCAAGGGCTGGTTTGATGCTCAAGGAAGAACAGAAGATTTTCAGTCTCATGTCAGCTCCTCAAACGCAACTGGCCCTTCGTTCAAGACAGATCATCTCAAGACAATTGCGCAGGTCCGAGAGGAGCAGCTTGGAATGTCTGAAGAGCCTGTTTTCTTCTCGTTAAAGGCAACAGTGATCTATATTAAACAGGATAATGTCTGTTACCCTGCCTGTCTCTCTGACAGATGTAACAAGAAAGTTACCGAAATTGATCCAGGCCAGTGGCGCTGTGAAAGATGCGATAAAACATACCCGCGACCACAATATCGCTATATCATGCTACTTAATGTCAGTGATCATACAGGTCAACTTTGGCTGAGTTGTTTTGATGATGTGGGGAGGTCAATTATGGGAACGACAGCAGATCAGTTGATGGACATCTGCCAGAACGATGAGAAAAAAGCAAGCGAGCTATTTTACCAGGCAAACTGTCGTACATGGAACTTTCGATGCAAAGCCAAAATTGACCATTTTGGGGACCAGCAACGGTAAGTCATAGTGATAAATAATTCTCAACTTAACATCTTGCCTAATAAATGTTCTTAGTGTCCGCTATCAAGTCTCCTCAGCCCAACCAATCAGCTATCCTGACGAGGCTTCATCCCTTGCTGATCAGATCAACTCCTACAGTATTGTGTGACGGATAGTAATTGAGATGACTTCGATGATGTCCTCATGGCATTCAGATGCGCAATTCTGATCGATATAAACATCATTGATGAAACATGAAGATAGGATTTCGAGCATCGATGAGAGGATACAGTTTGACATGATTGAGGATTCTATTAGATGATGTCTTGTGACTGTCGACTTTGATCATGTGAGATGTTGATCATTCCCTAACCCAACAATAAAATCTCGAGTCAGCTCGAAGCTCAGCCAGCTGCTGGCCATACTCGGAGCAACTTTCAATAAATTAGGGACAATTCCTTTGTAAAGACCTCGCAAACCTTCTTCTGTTACAATGACTCTGATGGCATCCCATATCGAAGTATACTTGTAACCAATTCCAGACATTGTGTTTATTTGAAATCGACGTCGCAGAACATCACTGTATCATGATCAGTAAGGCTGGTATGAAGGATATGACTGGGCGACTGGTTGAGAGATGGCCTACAATGGATAGGTGCAGGTCTGGGCGACCGCACCAGAAATAGCACCTGCTAACAATTTACGAAGTGGCCCAGGGCTTTTGTCTCCTTCTGGAGTCAAATATCGTCGAATGGACTCGTAGGTCATGAAGTTAAGCCCCACCTTGACAAGTTAGCAACAAGAGGGGGGAAAAAGGGATCATAGCCTACTGACATAGGGAGCAACCCCTGCAACCGTAGGGACAATACCACGATATAAGGCGATAAACCCTCCTTCGTCCCGGTACATCAATGCCATGGTGGCAAACATGCCTGGCAACTTCTCATTTGCGCCCCTCTTGCCAAGCGCCGCGAATGACGCCGACTGAATTGACAGGCGCGTTCGGACAATGTCGAGCGGATATGTGATGGTGACTGATGTAATTCCCGCTAGACCTCCACAAACGAGACGCTGCACCGGTGATAAATCGGCATGGGGGTGAGGCTCTGCAAACTTCGAACATTATCAGTCCATGAAATATAGAAAAGATTTGCAGCATGAGCAACTATAGCCAGGCTTCGATTTCTACGAACGAACTCACCTTCTTAAATATATTATAGCTTCCAAATTGCACAGCGGAGTATGGGATAATGCGAATGCAATTCGTGCCATTGCCTCTCATAAAACCTCTCCATCCTTCTTCTTTTTTCATCTTCAACAGAGCTTTCCATATCGATAACTTGTATTCCTCTCGGCCAACGCCTTGAACCTGAAAAAGTATTTTGAGCCGCTCAAGAGGGGACACTATTGTCCTAGAAACAGCACCCGCGACACCGCCGGCAATAAATGCTGCAAAAACAGGTTCGGTGAGGTTGATTTTGGCTGTGGTCAGGAAGGACGGTGAGGCCTAGTTGTTGGATTGATTAATAGGGATTTCAGTAAAAAAGCCGGAGTGAACAGTCTTCTTTCATCCAGCAGCTATGGAGATAATACCTCTACCGTATTAGTCGGTGTTGAGGACAAATGAGAGATCATGGGTAGTGTTGTTTTGTGTAGACTGTCTGGCTTCTCCTCGCCGACTTGATCTTCGCGATCCAGACTCATGTCCGCAAGGAGGGATATGTGGGTTTCGAGTATGATATAGAAGCTCAAGTCTGGCTGAAAACGAATCAATTGCGGCTTATCGGTTCACTGCTTCATTAATATGTTTATAAGTACTATTAGAAGTAAAATGATAGCGCGGGAGGCCAAAATATAATCTGCAAAAAGATGCCCACTTGGTTGTTTATGTTATGATGGATATATATGAGGAATAACTTTACTGGTATTCTATCATCATGGCTGGTTCGAGGAAAAGACCGGTTTTCATGGTCTTTCTGAGAGGCAAGGTTCAAGACTTATGATATATTTTTTCCATGTTAATACAGTGAGCGGTTTATAGAGTGGAGGAATAATGTTCCTAAAAAGCTGCTACTGGTTCAAAGGTGGATGAGCCAAACCCCAGGAACCTAGGGGCACTCATGGCTAGATTACCCCCTTAAGCTTGGCATCAATGCTGCTCTGTGGAGGTGACTACTATCACCTTTTCTATTTCACTAAAGATCCTAGTCTAGAAATATTGGATGTCCATGTAATGTGGCCTGGCCACCCCGTATAATTACTTGACAAGTACGGTGTGTTAGACATAAGATGGGTATTCTGGTATTATAGAGCTTATTATATTGTGTAATATTAGTTAATTAATCAAGCTTATTATTGAATAAAGTATTTAAAAGAAATAATATCATTTTAAAATAAATATTTATTTAATATAAACTATTTAAAATTTTAAAATACTAAAGTTCCTAAAGTGAAAATATTTATAAATTAATTTTGAATATTAAATTAGGCCTCAAATTGATCTAGACTATAGATAGCTTTATATTAATGCCCATAGATTACCTTAAAATTATTTCTATATATATTTAATAATATATAAGTATAGCTTTATTATATAAATAATAGTAAGATATTATATTACATCTATATTGATAATATTAATTAATATAAGGATTATTAAAGTTTATAAACTAATATCTTTAGTTTATCTTTTTTAAAGCTAATCAATTGATATATATGAATTTTATTATAAAGCTTATTATTTAAGAATATAAGAATAATATCAGCCTAAATAATTATTTTTACATGAAGCTTACTATTATAAATAATATTAGAGGTGTCTGCCTAGTTAGGCTTAACACTATTATGATATCATGAGCGAGTGATATCATGAACTCCTATGTGGCCATGAGTGGGATCACCTTGGCAGAGCACTAAGGTGCCTGCTCACTAATAACACAAGATCTCCTAACCCTAATAAAGTGGTTATATAGAGTTTTCACTCTATATTAGGGATTAATTAATTCTATAGAGTTCTATTGCCACTAGGTTACTTAGCTTTTAATAAGTTAAGAGAAGATATATAGATACCTTCCCTCTAACCTATAGTAGTGATAAAATAGAGATTTTTAGAGGAATTAGCTTTTAAATATTATATCTAGTAGTATATTATATTAGGGGTTAGCCCCTATACTAACCCTAATAGACTACTATACTATAGATAATATTTAAGGATTAATAGGATTTAAAAGCTAGATAAAAGGGACAAAAGATCCCCTAAGTAAAGAAAAAAAATTATTAAGCATCTTTATTAAAGGAACTAAGTAAATAAAAGACTTAATCTTTTACTATAAGTTAATAATAAATCTTATTAATAATATATAGAACTACTTATCACCTAAGGTGTTTAAAATCCTCTTAATAATTATAACTACTAGAGTAGATAAAATAGATGTTTACCCTCTTTTAGGATGCCTAGAGTAAGTACTTTAAGATAAAAAAGGCTAAATAAATCACCTAGTCTAAGAACTAAAGACTATTTATATATAGGTGGCCTAGCTTTAAGATAACCTTTATTAGGCAACTACTAGATAGCTAGGCCCCTAGAATAGCCCCTAAATAGCTACTATTAAAACTAGCTACTAAAAGTTAATTAATAATCCTACTAACTAAGGTAGACGCCCTTATTAAAAGATCTTAAAACTTAATTAAATCTCTAAATATATAAATAAGTATTAAGATAAGGGCGCCTAAAAATAACTATAATAAGTAAATAAATACTTTTAGAATAAAAAAGTCCTATATAAGAAATTTATAATTAATAGAGAGAAGGTCCTAGTAGTAAAATAGAAGCTTAATAGTAAGATATATAAGTAATAGAGATATCTATAGAGCTCTATTAATAATAAGCTTTATACCTCTATTAAGACTATAATGAAATTTAAGAAATAAATTATTAATAACTATATTAAATATCTTAATAAGGAACACTACTGGGAGGCATATAAGAACCTTATCTAGAGAAAATAATCTATTTAGATATATATCTATAAATTAATAAAGATTATAAACTAGATTAACTCTCTACTAATAAAAAATATACTTATTTAATAATTTATTATAGGCAGCTAAAAATAACTTTAAGGGTAATAAGCATATAAATCTAATAAACTAACTACCTTAGCTAAGGTTATTATAAAATTTACTCTCTATAAAAAAGAAGTTATTACTATATAATATATTTATAGGCTAATAGAAGTATTAGATACTATAGATATTAATATCTTAAGATAATTATATACCTTATCTAGGGGGCCTACCCTTATAAACTAATATATTCTGCACCCCTAATAATCTCTCACCCACATAAAGAGGCTCTACTTTATATATAGGAAACCTAAATATTATATAAAGAATTATTAACTAAGTAAAGTTTTAATAATCACCTCTATAATAAAGGCCCTAAAAGAGGGAAATAGAGTTAATTATTAAAACTAGAAGTACTAGTGGCGTAAATATTTAAGACTTCTATAATCCCTAATATTAATCTCTCTAATACTCTAGACTCTTAAGGGGTACCACCCCTATAAAGAAAATAAAAACTAAAAACCTAAATGATACTAATATAAATTAATGCCTTAAGTAGAGGGCTGCTAATTTTTAGAGGAGAAATTAATATAGAAGAATAAGAGAAAAAAAAGATTAAATATATAATTAATAGTAAAGTATTTAATAACTTTATAAGTAGTAGGGTACTTTAAAAACTTATTTATACCTTATCTTAATAAAGTAATAAAGATATATAGCTAGATGTAATACTACTAAATAATAATTATATTTTAGCTATATATTAAGTATATCTTCTACTATATTTTAGTAGATAAATAGGAATAACCTCTACTTAAATTATTAATAACCTTAAATATAATATTATCTTAAGATAGATATAGCTAAAGACTATTAACCCTATTATTAAATAGTTAAAATTAAGGATAGTCCTTTAGGACCACTAGGGTAAATAGTTCTTTATACTTTTAAAGAATATTAAATAATAGATTATAATTATACTATATATTAATATAATCTTAATATAATATATATTATATATATTATATAAGGTAAACTTAAAAGGTGTCCTCTATTTCCTCTAATAAACTACTAAGCTTATAGATGAGTATAAGTTATATATAAACCTTAAGGTAGAGGTAGTCCTCTAGAAATATAATATCTTTTACTAAGAACTTATAGTAGCCCTCTTATCTAAGTAAGATATTATATATAATATTAATATAAGTAATATTATGCCTATTAATATTAGCCCTTTCCCTCTCTTATAAGAAAAACTTAAAGAACTAATTTAATAACTAGAGGATCTAGAGTAAAAGAGGCTTATTTAACTCTCTACTAGCCCCTAGGGCTTCCTAATAGTATTTATCTATAAGATAATAAGGGAATAATAAATATATATTAACTATTAGATGCTAAATAACTTAATAATTAAGAATAACTATTTACTACCCTAGATTTAAGAGTTATTAGATATATTAAGTAGAAGCTAGGTAATATTAAAGATTAACCTCTTATTAAAATATTAATAAATATAAATAAGGAGCAGCTTAGTTAAGAAAATAGCATTTAATATAATATTTAGTAAATTTAAATTCTTAACTATATTATTTAGTCTTTATAATATACTAGTAATATTCTAGATAATAATAAATTATATCTTAAGGAAGTATATTAGCTACTTTATAATAGTATATCTTAATAATATCCTTATCTT